CCCCTTAGACTGGTCTATTCAGTGAAAATGCTTTTTGTATTTGAAATAAATTATGTACATGTATAGTTCATTATATCAAATGTATTGTTGTAAAGGATATCTAGCGGGTGATTCCTTCATTGCTCCAACAAATGTGTATTCATTTTGTGTTACTGAAACAATAATAAAACCAGAATATAACATAATGGTGTTCATTCAGACGTTAAATCAAATAGGCCATTGTCACTTTTAACATATAATTCAATAATTGTTGTTATATTAGACATACTTACACATGACAAGATGGACAATAACAAATGCAAARAGGTAGCAACAATAAAACGATAGTGAAAGTAGAAACATGTAGAAGTATTTGTAATTTCGTTTGCCTACACAGTTACCAACCTGAATAAAAAAAGAACATGTAAAACAGTGAACGAAAAATAGTACAAAAAGGGGGTTTTCCAGAACACATCTAAAAGCTGGTTTTAAGCTGGTTTTAAGCTCCCTTAAAGGGCTACTTGGACGAAAATTGCAAAACATTAGAAAAGACTTGGAAATCAAATAGACCTATCCAYAWGSGTGYAATAATCATGRRGCAAYAGATTTCAAGAAAATATTGATGCAAATCCTTAATAATTTGGGCAAAAAATTTTGGAGTAGATGACGTCATTTACTCAATCCTTTTGTTCTTCCATCTTTTGAATCAAAATTTCTCTGATGTGGGATAATTCCAAGACAAATATTTTCCCACAATTGTTTTTAATAGATATAAATGAGTCATATATTTGTTTTTCTTGAAGTTTTGAAATAAGGCCATTTTCATGCAAGTAGCACTTTAAAACTGACCTCCTATTATTAGGTTAGGTATTGATTTATTGCTTGACAGAGCATCTTTTGTTTGTTCTTTGTTTTCTCAATCAATCACGAGATTCCTTTTGATCAACAGGCTCAAAACTGTTCACCAACACTATTTAGTAGCAGTTATGTAAAAAGATAAATTTAACACCGTAGAAAAGTATGTGAAATAACTTACTGACGTTTCGGACGTTAATCCTTCGTCGGATTTACTAGTTTACCACTAGTTCCCACTATTTAGTAGCAATTTATAGTAACTAGTACATAATTTTTAATTATATGAAAAAGACAAAAAAAGTACAGAGCAAGGTAGGAAACCCCATGACAGCGTAAGCCAATTACTGTGGACCCTTAACACACAAGTTACAATTTATAATAGCAAAAAATCAGAAACAATTAGAAACAAAATGAAGGATTAGCAGATAAAGGACGAGAAACATTGGTATGAAAGACATATAGTCTTATAAGTATGCGGATCGTCAAGGTCAAAAAAGGGGAGTGAGCTCATACAATAATCTAATATAGCTGACAAGGTATGGCATAGCTATGACAAGCTGTTGCCATTAATAACAAGAAAGGGAATCTTACCCATGGACAATGGTGATCAAAACGTTCTGTGAAATAAAATAGTAGAGCCTGATTAAGAAATTAAGYCATTTAGAGGTCAAAACAATGGATCTTTTCACAAATRTRGCATATACRGGTGTAGTTTTTGAATCTTACCAACACAGTTGTCACACATACTACAATGTGAAGCCCTAGGAGGTCTAAATATCTTGCAGGTAAAACAGAATTTCAGTTTAATAGTTTGCCCATTGACAGTAATTTCCTTAGTTCTTGGTGGAGGGCGGTAACCTTGGCCTTCTGTGGCAGGTGTCTCTGAAAACAAGTAGAACAATAGACAAAGGTTAACCTTAATAGGATATGGTTAACCAGCATTCAATGCAGTTGTGTTCTAGATTTTTCATTTCAGGAAAATAAGGTGATGTCAATTATCCCTTCACAATCCATTTCCATCCATTTTTTTTAGTTTGAATCTTACAATGGCTCCATTCATAGAGCATAAAGGTACAATAAAGAGTACAATTTTGCTTATATTATTATGAATTTTATTTTTAAACATAAACAAAAGCTTGAGAAGGATGCCCTTTAATACATCAAACAGCTGTAAAACAATAGACTTCTATGACGTCATGTCAATATCACATGAAATAATAGTGAGAAATGCCCTAGTTCATTATGACGTCACATCAAAACATTCTATTGTTTTAACGCTAAGGATTATGGTCACCAGAGGGGATCAGAGTGACTACATATCAAATAAAACGTTCATTAGAAATCATTTATACATGATATATATCAAAACACGATTCATTSAAGTTCTACTTTAGGAGACAATATAAATGGGTCCAAATTTCCACTGTTTTTTAACATCGTGTTCCCATAAACATACTGTGACGTCATAATGAAATAGTGCAATTAGGGACACCCCCTCCCCCCCTTAGTAAGCTGAGCTCACCTAGTGTCTTTTCTATGTAAGCTGCTTCCTCAGCACTAGCTCTAGGTACAATACCAGGGTCACTAAATGCTGCTCTTAATAGCGTTGCCATGACGAATAAGAATAACCATGCCGCAATAAACGGAACAGCAGGCGATAGATAGATATAAAGGTACGGAGCACTGAGAAACATAATATATTAAAAAATATAAAAATATTAAAAAATATAAAAATATTAAAAAATATAAAACAGTGCAAGTGATAAATAATCCATTGTGTGTGACATCTTTAAAACAGCTTTATCGGGATAAATTGACAATAGTTTTGCGATCTCTTTTACGTTGTGTTAGCCTCAATTGTGTGCAAAATATTTAGAAATTTTGATAAAACTCATGAAATCTCAAACTTATTCCATTGTCTATATACTTCCTAACAGATCTCTTGCATTTGAACAGACTGTTGGTGAATAAAAGAATTTATTACATGGTTTTGAGGTTAACACAGCATAAAAGAGATTGCTAAAAGGGTTTATTACTAACAATTTTTTCTGGGATTTTATGGCAATTTTCAATTATATAATAGATTTTGTCTTATCCTTTTGAAAAGATGTTTAGTTAGCACATCTCAGTGTACTGAATAAAAGTTTACAAGTTAATTCTTTAACATTATTCACTAGGATCAAAATGACCACAAAAATCTCCAGCGTAAAAAGGTTTTAAAAAGAAAGGAATCAATCATCTCTTCTACCCCTATTAATAAAACTGTATGAATTCCCTTAACTGCAGGAGGTCTGTACATCAATTTAAATGTATACACATTATGGGCAAATCATGTTATTGGTCGCTAAACCATTTTTTTAACTTAACCAAAATTTTATAAGATTCATGAATTGTTTTGAAATCAGGTCACTGAATGTTAAAACAATACTAGTAAAGAAATGTTCTTTATCCCAAGGCGAATTAACCAAATGATTTTCTCTTTGAGGTATAAGTATTTTCTTGATATAAGTAAGTATTTTATTGTAAGTAAGTATTTTTTTGATATAATGAAATATTCATGAGGTATAACCACACAGACATAACATCACYCTTATGTTTTACCCCAGCAAAACCACTGTTATATTTAAATTTATTAAAGGTTTACCAAAAAAACAAAAACAGCAAATGCCATCCCAAAATGGTCAAAACAACAACAACTAATATTGTCATAGAATGAAGTAAAAGAAACAATGAAATAGCTATTACACTACTACACCCTATTACGCTCTAATTGCGTTTTGTGTCTATTTGACTATWGCAATTTAATAGTCAAGTTTTGTCTCATGGGTTTAAAGGCTTAATAATAATAAAATAATGATTTAATAATAATGATTTCACCCTGATGATATACATTACATCTGAACCTGGTTAAAAAATACATTAGTACTAATGCTATCGCTATCTTGAACTAAAAAATGGGATTTCCCTGAGGCGAGTCTTATTTTCAGAAACAATCAACCATGCTTTTAAAAATTTTTGCTTTTAGCACCAAACATTTTTGACCTTATTACAAATTGATGAAACTGTCCTCTCGACTCACATTGAAATCATGAGATGTCCAAGGATCATAAGTACAAATAATTCTTTTAAAAATCCTTCCTTTTGTTTCAAAATTYCCAAATGCATTTGACTACTTAACGCTTTTACATTTGGATACCCAATTTWAAAAAMMA